CAAGAAAACGAGAAAAGGTTCGAGATGCGTGAAGATAGTGTTATGCGTATCTTGCGGCAGGGGGGGGGGGGGGGGGGGGAGTCACCCTCAAGTACCCTTAATGGAGCGTAGCCGATGGTTCTTCCTTACTTCCGATGGTTACTTTTTGATTGTTGTTGTGGTCTGAGAGCGGCGGAGGGCCTCAAGTTGAAGGAGGGAGGAAGACGAAGAGATGGAGCAGACGAAGAGGAAGAGATGGGCAGACGAAGAGGAGGAGACGGACGCAAACGAAGAGGAAGAGATGGAGGCAGGCGAAGAGGAAGAGATGGAGGCAGACGAAGAGGAAGAGGAGGTAGACGAAGACGAGGAGGAAAAGAAAAAGAGTAAGGAAACAGTGGGAGGTTGTAGGAAATGAGAAGGAGAGAGAGGAAGGATGGGGTAAGTCACGAGGGAGAGAAGGGAGAAGTGTAAGAGGATGGCAGGAGAGAGAGAGAGAGAGAGAGAGAGAGAGAGAGAGAGAGAGAGAGAGAGAGAGAGAGAGAGAGAGAGAGAGAGAGAGAGAGAGAGAGAGAAAGAGAGAGAGACCACGACTGACCCAAATCCAGGGTGAAAACTCCTAAAAGACAGAATATGGAATAAGACAATGAAACAAGGAGAATTAGAGCAGTAACAAGGAAGATGCACCGAGACAGAGCTGAGACAGATGACAGGCTCAGGGATCCAAGTCCCGAAATAAGGGAAGAGACGCCGGGTCGCGATGCCCAGACGGTAGCAAGCCAGATAGGTTGTAATAAGTGAGAATGTAGTACTGATGGATCAGGCTGTTCCAGCAGGGAGAGGACAGAGACCGGGGATAAATTACCTACTCACCAGCTTATCAGGCAAGCCCAGGAGCTGGAGCACACTCCCACTCAAGCACATACAGATGAGTACACACACTCACACATAAGTAACGATATTTGATACACTAATACACATACACACCACAGGGAAATGTGGTACACTGCTCACATACACTATCCATGAACACTGCCCTTGGCTAATGCGGCGCGCTGACTCTCACCCTTATCAATTTCTTATATATATTTACACACACGATAATATGAAAAGTCGTAATATCCAACCCAACGTGATCATCTCCTGCAGGGCCAGGGAAGTGGACCCTCGCGATGGATTCGGTCAACAGAAATAGATTCGTTGATCACGTAAGTCGCTCAAATATGCAGAAAAGCCAAACATCTCCAGGTCAGTGGAAAGGACTGGAGTCGATGCTGGAACGTCACCGAGGACTCCAGTTGGTCGAGGCTCGTCGCCAAACCTTCGCCTTTATTGCGATAACACAAAGTGGGGAAGCGTGTTCCAGAACGCGACTGATGCTGGAAGAAAATCCTTTCCCTTGAGCGATGGATGTCCGCGAGGAAGGAATGGAGAGGGAGGCGGAGGGAAGGTAAAATAAAACTGTAAAATAAGGGGTAGTGGAGGTGGATAAATATAGGGAGATAAAAAAAATTAATTTAATGCTCGGTCGCTAATGGCAGGACATGATGCATCTACTCTGTGTGTGTGTGTGTGTGTGTGTGTGTGTGTGTGTGTGTGTGTGTGTGTGTGTGTGTGTGTGTGTGTGTGTGTGTGTGTGTGCGCGCGCGTTTACATGCTTTTGGGACTACCCATATCCCAGCACCCCGGGGAGCACCCGCTCCCCAGCACCCCGGGGGAGAGCCACAATAACAGCAAGAGGATCGTTGCGGACTGACTTCCGATCACCCACGAGTCGCCGTAGTCACCAAGACTGCCGCTCTCCGCTCCCAGGTCGTTCATCTTCACTGCTCCAGGTCGTTCATCTTCACCGCTCCAGGTTGTTCATCTTCACTGCTCCAGGTCGTTCATCTTCACCGCTCCAGGTTGTTCATCTTCACCGCTCCAGGTCGTTCATCTTCACCGCTCCATGTCGTTCATTTTCACCGCTCCAAGTCGTTCATCTTCACCGCTCCAGGTCGTTCATTTTCACCGCTCCAAGTCGTTCATCTTCACCGCTCCAGATCGTTCATCTTCACCGCTCCAAGTCGTTCATCTTCACCGCTCTAGGTCGTTCATCTTCACCGCTCCAAGTCGCTCATCTTCACCGCTCCAAGTCGTTCATCTTCACCGCTCCAAGTCGTTCATCTTCACCGCTCTAGGTCGTTCATCATCACCGCTCCTAGTCGTTCATTTTCACCGCTCCAAGTCGTTCATCTTCACCGCTCCAGGTCGTTCATCTTCACCGCTCCAAGTCGTTCATCTTCACCGCTCCAAGTCGTTCATCTTCACCGCTCCAAGTCGCTCATATTCACCGTTCTATTTCTTACACTTTCATCAACTACATATTTCACAGTATTGTTTAAGAGACATTAACATGCGTCTAAGAGACCTTATCATGTGTTTAGAAGACCTTAACATACGTTTAAAATCTATTAACGTTCGTTTAAACGAACTTAAAATCTATTAACACGAGTTTGAAAGATCTTAATATGTGTTTAAGACACTTCAACATTGTGTTTAAGATAACTAAAAAATGCGTTTAAGATATTTTTTTATCATACAAATTTATTAGTTGTAAACAAGGCACATAAATTTGTTGAATATTAGAATAAATTACTATTGGTTGTAATAATCTCTCTCTCTCTCTCTCTCTCTCTCTCTCTCTCTCTCTCTCTCTCTCTCTCTCTCTCTCTCTCTCTCTCTCTCTCTCTCTCTCTCTCTCTCTCTCTCTCTCTGCCTCTCTCTCTCTCCTTATCAGTATTCTGCCTCAACTGTCTATTTATATGAAGCAGAACCACATTGATGCCCGTGTCGCTTCCTTCACATCAATTATTCAACCTGTTCATAATGCAAGAGTGTTGCAAAGATGGGGTTACGACCCTACCTCGTCACTATCGTCAAGAGGTCGCTTTGGGACACGTGTTGGTACTACTGTTCTTTATATCTTCCTCTCCTTCTTACTTTAAAGTTTAATTATTCTTTGTGTATACTTTTATCGTGCTCAATACCTTTAATTGTAAAGATTTGATATCTTTAATTCCAATATAACTAATGTGAAAACATAACAAATTGAAAATGATATATATATATATATATATATATGTTTTTATAAAACTTCATATAGTCTCTAAAACTTCACATATTGGGATTAACTAATGCTATTATTGTGTCAATTTTTTTACTGTTTTCTTTATTTATTTTTACTTGATCTCTGTTTTCTTTTTCTCCTCCAACCGTGTTTCTATCAAATTAGTGTTCCATAATTCCTTGTTAAATCGTAAGTAAGGCTTTAATTCTCCGAGCGAGTGATTAAGAACGAACTTTTACCGTAGGCCTCAACGTCTAATACACGCAGTAAGGGTCTACTGCAGATAGTTTGATCTGGTGTTGGACTTATAAGGCCTATTAACCTCTGGAATGTCATTAAGGCAACCACAATTGCATGCTGACCAATCAGCGAGTATATCTTAGACCTTAACAAAGGTCAGGACTAAGGCAAGATCTCACTGTATTTACACCGCAAAGCTGAACGCACCGCGGTGAATTTATTCCCTGAGGGGGTAGTAATGGGGAACTTACATAGTGTTGGACAGGGGGAGATTTAGACAAGGGGAGACTTGAACAGGGGCGACGCAGACAGGGAAGGCTACGAGAGGAATCACTGGTGATGGATAATACTCTCAACACTCGGATACATCATGTCTGCTTCACACAAAGTGATCAACGTCACGTTATTTTTCTTTGGAAGTGAGTCAAGAGCGTGGGTACGTGGATGAATGTCATGAGCGAGGCGCTGACTCACAATCCTACCCATAAATACTCATTACGTGCTCTGTACGAGGTATTGAACAACGCACCTAAGCTTCTTTATATTATCCTCTCTAAATAGTTCTTTGTGATACGCGTTGGTGCAGCTTGACGAAGAGTGTTGTTATAAATCATATATGCTTGATATAATTATTATTCCGTAGACACTATTTTCATTTTTTTGTCTTGCAAAGGTAACAATTGCTGCATCTTGCATTAATGGGAGGTATTTGTACTTTAGTTCACAGTTATCATTAATAATTATCTAAAATGCATATATATATATATATATATATATATATATATATATATATATATATTTCTTAATCGCTATCTCTATTATCTCTCACATACTCTCTTCTGAATCGCTCTCTCTTTCTCTCTCACTACTCTGGTCCTGTTCTCTCTCCCTCTCTCCTTCCTGGTCTCTCTCTCTCCCTCCCTCCTTTACTTTTTTTTTACCTCTTGCTCTCCCTCCTTCCCTCTTCTCGTCTCATTCTGTCTTTGTTATTTTCCTTCCATTCTCTGCTCCACCATTGTAATATTACAACATTGTAACAACGTTGTCTTGATGTGTGTGATGAATATTTTTTTTTATTAATGAATAGTTGAAAAATCTCGTGGCAAAACTCTATGGAAAACCAAACCCTCATTTAACTTTATAGGAATCGTTGGCTGCCGCAATAGGAGCCAATCCTACATAAGGAGGGGGCATGGGGTTGACCCCAATCTACCTATGACACTCCACATACAAACAAAAATGACCATGAAAAGTTGCGTGAGGATAACGGAAAACGTCTGGCTTTTAGCCACGAACAGACAAGACCTTTCTTAGTGAGAGTTCCACATCTTGGTTGTATTCTCAAGAATATCTCAAGAATATACTGTATATCTCACATAGGTTGTATATATAGGAGGAAATTTTCCTTTCACTAAATTTCTGACGCCTACACATACGTTGGCGTCTGCTTACATGATGCTGCTCACACTATGTGTGATAATGTGTGCTTCTTGCATTAGATTTGGAGTTTAATGTGTGTGTGTGAGTAGACTTTGTGTGTTTGTGTTTTGTGTCTAAGACTAAGGGTATGTGTCTGTGTGTTGCTGAAGTTCAACCCCTTTGTTCTAAATTAAAGCCTTCGTGCAGTAAGCTAGAACTTCCATGAACTAGGCTAAAGAAACTCCCAAGGACGTACCTCTTTTTCTTTTGATTGTATCATATCCTCAATTGGCGTATTTCTGCCAGTTCTGTCTGGTCTATCAGAGACCTCTGAGGAGTCGACCAGGTCGTTGCCGGCCTCTGTGGTGGTGGTGGTGGTAGTGGTGGTGGTGGAGCAGGTGGTGGAGGTGGCGGTGCCGTTGTTGATGTTGTTGTGGTTGGAGTTGGTACTGTTGATGTTGTTGTTGTTATTATTGTTGTTGTTGTTGCTCTCCTTGAAGCCCTTCTGGCACTTGACCGTCTCGAGCTGTTCCTTGAGGGTGTGGACTTCGTTCTCCGCCAGCGTCGCTCTCTGTGTGCACGGAAGACGGCCTAGTTAGTAGTTAGTACATTTAAAACACGTGAAATGGTTTATGTATCTATGAGTGTGTGTGTGTGTGTGTATATGTGTTTGAATGTACATGCTTATATATATGTGTGTATGTAGTAATGTAACTGCAACATATTTTAAATTTGTTCGTCTGTATTTGTGTGATGTAATTTTTAAACTCATTACTTGCAGAGATATGTATACAATTTCAGTAGCTGTATCACACTAAAATATGTTTCTAATATCTTAGTATACAGTGTACTGTAGCAGTATCCACGCCTCCCCAGCCTCAACTCCACTCCCCGGACTCACAAGAAATTAGTTATACCTCATTCTGGCATGAAACCCGAAGTGACACTATTAAGTCAGTGAAGGTCTTGGATTAGAGTTGATCCATAGGGTCAAGATATTGTTTACAGCTTACCCATCCTTGTTGACAGGTTGCGTGCCGAACACAATCATAGCAAGCCAGCTATTCGCTGTTGAGCATCTCCATCGAATATGTGATTGTAAAGCTTTGCCAGGAAGCTATATAAAAGCTCCCTGGATTTATAAAAGCTTTTCCAGGGTTCCTCTTCCAGGAAAGATTCCCAAAGTGGTTCGTTTAATACAAGAACCGCTCGAGGTATTTATCTCTCAATATGAGACAATAACACAGTCTCTGTCTCTTAATTCGGGTCAGTGGTTGAAGGTTTCTATCTCTTAATGTCCTCAAGAGATATAAGAACATATAACAACTTTTCCATTTTGTGTTAGGCGTGTGTGTGTGTCTCGAGCGCCCAGACCCCTCTTGTCGTCTCCCCCAACTGTCAGCCGTCTTGTAGAGCCGCTGTTATTTGGGTCCTGTCACTCACCCTTACAAAGGACCGTCGGGTAATCTAAGAAATGATGAACACTTTCAAGAGCTTGGAAAAATTGCCAATTTCTTATAACTCTGTTTAAGGGGGGGGATGCAGATCGCCAGTAACGAAATCGTCCATGCACCCGTTACCAAATACACTCTGTAAATCACCATAAAGCTTAGTTTATCATACGTTTTCGGATGAGGGAGAGGGCAGGAAGTATCAATAAGTACAGTATGTAGAGACGTGTGATTATCTGTTTGAGGAGCAGCAGTGTGGACGGGAATCCCTGTTATGACGGTGGACAGCTGTGCCAGCTTCTGAACCGCGTCAAAATACCTCGGGAATCCCGAGCCTAAGACGGGATGTCAGCAGATTACACAACGGCCACCACATCGTATTGAAAATATTAATTATCCCTTCTTCTTTTTTTCACATTGGAACTTGACAATGACATTTACATCTGTCTGGTATGTATAGCGCGTTCCTGTTATAGTGCACGTCTAATTAACATTTACACAATACCAAGAACTGTCAATCTGGGAAAATAAATTAAACATTTAGCAGTGTTCTTCAACACTCGTGGATGCTTCATATTATCTGCTCATCTATAACATCCTTTGTGGTGTCTAACGCCTTGACCCGTTATTACTGCTGCTCTTAGCACACGTTCAATACAAGGGAAGACTGGATTCACCGCTGGATTATCGTAACCTACGATCTTCCGCCTTAGGGATCATTAAGGGGATAGTTTAAGGTGGATTGGTCGCATCACTAAAGTATTTTTGTTTTTGGGGAAGGTGGAGAGGGTCAGGCCTCTCCTGTTCAATGACCCGCACGGGACCGCGTAACTGAATCTGCCAATAGTTTGACCTCTTAGCATTGATCAACAGGTGGAATTTGGCGTAAGGATGGGACACAAGGCGGCACTTATAATGGTAATAGTTGTAAATCAAGAGGAACTGATGGTTATCTGCTTCTCTGGTTATCCTGGTCACTATTGCACTTGGGTTCCCATTTTTTCTCCTGGAGCAGATCAGTTCCCATTTTCTGTCATCCATTCGTCGAAGCGAGGGAATACCCAAAGGCGATCAGAGGCCTGCAACTTTTGGGAGACTGGAGACTGTATGTTTCTTTCTTGCTTGTTAAAACAACACGAATTGACAAGCCTGCTTTCTCGCCACCTCCTTAATGTATTATCTGATGGCCATTGTAACTTCACGGCGTCTGGCTCTCCGAAAGTGTCGCCATTTCTTTGCTTGAACTTTGTACGAGGCCAAGATGCTGCTTGCCAAGAATGAGACAAAAAAAATTAATGTTGCATATATCACAGTTGGGTCATTTTAGTTCTTGCTCCTTTGAATTTGGGAGGTTAATAGCCTCGCATTTTATCCCTGTCAGACGGTCTCTCTCTCTCAAACTGACTCGTTCCCTGTCTGTCTCTCCATGTTTCTCTCTCCCCTCGTCCCTCCCTCCTAACATCCTCCCCCTCTCCCAAACCCCACACCTCCCGTCCCCCTCTAAGGCTCGCACCTGAGCTCTTCATCACTGCGGAGACGTGACAAGGTTCCAGCCTGGGTTATGGTTCTCACCCCGACATGAGTGACAGGAACAGCCAGCATCCAACAGGTTGCTAAGGTGGGAGCGGGTGGATGGGAAAGGGAGAAGGAAGGGTGATCTCGAGGGAGAGAGGACGGGTGTTACCAACTGAAAAACAGCATGAAAATCTATAAAAACTGCGTGGAGCGGGAGTAGAATAAAAAGTGGTTCCCTCGAGACAGGAGTTAGAGAGTTAAGTAACAGCTGATGGGGGGGGGGGGGGGGGATGAAGGTGATTGATAAATAAGGAAGTACAAAATCATGAGATTAAGCTTAAAAATATATTTCAAGTTGAAGCTGAAAAGGAGGTGGATGAGAGGAAAATGTATTCAAATAAATAAAAGAGATGAGAGGGACATGTTAAACCGTTAGAATTACATTACAAGACGATGAAGAAGTAGAGGAAGTGAGGGAAGAGGAGGATGCTCTTCTTTCAAATTACGTCTGAATTTGGCCGTTTGTCCGTATGGCCGAAAATGGATGTAATTTGAAAAGAAAAAATAATTGAAAATAAATTTTAGATTTTTTTTTCAAAATAGCAAGTTAAGGGTCCTCTGGTAGGTTAAGAGAGCAGGAAGTTCTCCTTAGGTTGCAAAACATCGTGAAAACCGTTAATTGAAAGTTTCCTCTCGTAACCTAACGGAGTAAGCCAGAGGACTCAACACAGAAAACGGGACAGTACATCACTTTCGTGAGCCGATTTCGTTTCAAATTATGTCCATTTTTGGCCATAGCGCGCATACGAGCGAATAGCGACGTTATTTTAAGAGGGCGGGTTGGAGAATGCTCACCTCTGGACGTGAGGCTTTACTGTATCCATGAAATGTGGAATTCAATCAAAGACTCTTGACTTGACAACCTCTTGACTGTTCCTACCAACCACCCACCATGGGCTGACCCACCCTGGGCAGACCCACCTTAGGTTGACCCACCTTGGGCTGACCCACGTTGGGAGTGGAAAATTCCAGCACACAAAGATATAGCCAGGTATTTCAGAGTTAGGTTAGGCAGAGCTAAGGCACGTACGTGAACCATTCCATTAAGCTGTATTTGTATTTCTAAGTATTTTAATCAATTTGATATCATCACTAAATATGGGAAATCTTCCACAGGTAAGGAGATGGACCTGGATTTAGTCCCCTTCAGGGGGCCTTGGCTCATTGGCTCTCTGGACTTCAAACTACAGGTTAGCCCGTTTTTTTAAATATTTTTCGTGCATGCCAATTTATCATAATAAATGTATTAAGTTTACATTAATTTTTTACCACTCTTGGCTGACCCACCCTGGGTTGATCTACCTTGAGCTCCACCTCAACAACCTTACCACCACAATCATCTTCATCTTGTCTTACTCATTATCTTCCTCCTTCTCCTGCTCCTTCCTTTTTCTTCCCATCTTCCACCTTTCTCCTCTTCCTTCCCTTCCCCTCCTCCTCCAACTTCTCCTTCAGCTTCTGAGTGTAATTATATTCCACTTTCGTCAAATCAATCACTTGTGGGCCAAGAAAACGTTTATGGTAATGCCGTTTAATGGACTTGTCAAGTGTGGTAAACATCAAAGACCTGTTAAGAGGGAGAAAATAAAGAGGAGATCAACAGTAACCTTGAGTGTTTACTGTTGGAACTAAGACAACTGGAGAGTGAGACGCCCTGAAGCAGCCATGGGGAATAGGGATTCATTGAGAGATAGATAGTCATACATGCAAACAAGAAGTCATAAAGATATACAGATAGTCAGATAGTCATAAAGATATAGTCATACAAATATACAAATAGTCATACAAATATACAGTCATACACGTAAACACAGGTAGTCATAGAGATAAATAAGAGACAAAAGAGATAAATAAGAGGTAAAAGAGAGAGAGGTAAATAAGACGGGAACATGTATATATTCAGGGAAGTCAACGCGGAGGATGGAATAATAAGAGCAGTATACTGTCTCTTGTAACTGTTCCTCACGGCGCACTGACAGCTTTACCTGCCACTAGTAACACCCTCTTGCACCACCACGACCCCTCACGGAACACCACGACCCCTTACGGAACACCACGACCCTGACGGAACAGTACCCTCTGGGAGCACACCCACTAACAGAGGGAGAGGTATCAGCTCGAACAGTAACCCCTTGCCGACCTTTCATGTTCCTTAGGGAGAGAGGAACAACACCCATTGTTCCCCCCAGCCGACACCTCCGTCAGCTAGTGGCCCCTACTTACTAGTGGGAGGGAGGTAGGAAGGAGAGATGGCCAGGGGGCGAAGGAGGAAGGGAAGAAGAGGGCTGATAGGTGAAGAGGCAAAAGAGAGATAGAGGTAGGGGGAAGGAGTGGAATGGAATGAAATGGTGTATAAAGAATGAGTGAGAGTGAGGTTTGCAACGTTACCTATTAAAGCTTTCCTGTCAGTGTGTACGGGGATGTAAGTTCTATCTCTTTATTCCCCCCTCCTGCCAGCCTTGTTCTGCTTGTTGCGTTACAGTTTCACTATCGTTCTGGACGACATCCTAACAATTTATCCAAAATTTGCTTGTCCATTTTAAAG